TTTTCTATTTAAAATAATTATAATAATTTAAAAATAAAAAATTTTATTATTTTGATTGACAAAAATTAAGAGGTAAAGTAAATTTTGTGATTCATTGGTTGTTTTTGATTTTTTACCAACCTTTACTTCTGTGACAGTGATATAGTGTGACGTCTTTACTAGTCTAGTGTAGCTCATTCCTTACTTAATCATTTCAGATCATGAGGACTTGGTTCCCGAGCCCATTCCACAAGAAGACGGCGGGTAGATGCCTAGATATCTTATAGTTTTCTTTATAGTCTTTCATTTCTAGTATTTCCTTTACATGACTTATTCTTTGATATTGTTAGTACGTTTAAGTTATTGTGTAACAGATATTAATCGGAACCTTTTATTTCACTTCCGCACTCAAATTTTTTATATATATTTCATTTTAAATTTTCGGAACCATTACATACCATACCGTTCACAAGCAGTACGACAATATAACTACATTTTTTCTTTTACTGCATATTTATATTAATCGTATAGTAATGTTTTATTAATTTTCAGTTTACAAAATCAGCTGATTAATTAATTTAAGTAAAAATTCAATGAAGAAATTAAAGAATTATTTCACCCGAGTACGAAGCGACAAGATCAGAAAACGAAGATACAGAAGCATGGCTATTTAACGTTACTTTGGTAGAATTAAAAATAAGAAGTTGTTTTTGGGAAATTATGAAACAAATACATAAATGAGGATATAAAATATATGTAACTTTTTTGTTTATTTCAACCAAGCATATATGTTACAGAGCCATACAAAAGTTTGTCATAACAAACTTTGATATATAGGATTATTAATCCTATCATTTATTTATATTAAAAACACTCAAGTAAAGTATGTAGATAATTTATTTTATACGTATGTATGAAAGCCAAGATCCTTAGCAAATCCTTTAAAAGGATAGTAGGAACTTTTATATACTCCGCAAGTTCCTTGACTGTTGCCAGATTGTCTTTTCAGTCTCATGTATCCTTTTTCGCCCCAATTTGGGCCCCATGAATTCTTTATGATTATGTAATTTTTTCCATCACTTGTCCCGTATCCTACGGCTGTTACTGCATGATCTAATTTGGTTCCGCATGGTCCGTCAAAAACTCCCTGTCACTCGTAAAATCAAATTAATTAATCTCTATTTACTCTTTAATTATTTACTTTCTCTAATTAAATGATCAATAATTACCGATTTATACAACTGGAATGGTTTTCCTCCAGCTTCAACAAGGACGCTTAAAGGTTGATTTGCGAGTGCTCCTAAGAAAGATGTTTCACAATTTGACGGCACACGTTTATACCCAGTAATTTTCACCTTCGGACCTGGCTGCAAAAACCAAAGGCAATTGAATGAACATAACAATTTTTGCATGTATATAACATTCGAAATCAAGAAAAAAATTATAAGTACTAACATTTAGTTGTTCACTTATCTAATCAACAGCATATGTCTCTAATATTAATATTTTTTTTATATTTATATATAATATGTAGTTATACCTTGTCTGTAGCTCGACATTTGTATTGCTTCGCCTGATACGGATACACTTTACTCGTGTGAACACCATTGTTAGCTACATATTGAAGTGAAGTTGTCTGGTAACCTCCTTTACACCCGTAGCTATGTTTGTCACAATCTACCAATTCTTGCTCTGATAATTCTAGTAAATTCCCAGTTACAATCTTGTTTATTCCCTCGACAGTTGCAATAGTTGAAAATGCCCAACAACTACCTGAAGTATTTTAGTTTATCAGAAAAAAAAAGAATTCAAATAAAAGGTAGTTAATTAATAAAAACATATAGAATATGTTAATTAATAATATAAGTAGAGAATATTTCATTAAAATAATAATGTCGTACCACAAGCACCCTGATTTTTTACAGGAGTCACGGCTCCTTTCGCTCTCCAATCAATGCTCTGAGGATAATTCGTAACATGTTTATAAGTAAAGTCTTCGTTGTCGAAGTGTTCTAATCCTGTAAAATCTTCAGCAACAAAGCCAACGTACTTTTTCTTGAATTCATCATTGCTTAAATCAGCAAAGCCGTTTAATCCAAGCCAATAGCTATTATTCTTTTTGTTTGTCTCATCAATATACATGAGATTATCTCTAAAAATCTCAAATCTGTATATTTTTTCATCAATACTCTCGTAAATCTTATTGTGTTTCAACATCCACGAGTCAAAGAGTTGTATAAGTCTTTCGATAGACGTCAAGTCATCTTGAGAATAACCCACGGTGTAAAAATCAGCAGAAGACAAACTCATATGAATAATGAGACATGTTGCCAAGAAAATAATTTTTGAAATTGAACTCATCGTAGCCATTGTAACACTAGCTAACTCTCAAGAGTGGGAATGGATGAAGGGAAATGGGAGGATCGCATGGGTTTATATACTAGCTTGTCTTTTCAATCAAGTTTCTTTCTCTCTAAATAAAAGATCTTGTCATTCACTCTACTTGCACCATCATTTTAGGGTTAGCAAGATTGTAGATTAAACCATTTTAA